TGGGGGCTAGAGTTTTCTCTTCACTTTTCTTTTGTTTAAAAAAAAAAGACCCACTTGGGCTAGGGTTTTCCCTTTACTTCTCTTTTGTTTTAAAATAAGGAAGGCACACTTACCCAATTACTTTTTGTTAAAACAAAACAAAGCCCATGAACAAGACATTAGAATCCTATTTCCAACCTCCCTAAGCTTAATTATATCCAGTAATAGAATTAAGTAGTTGGTCAAACGACCCAGGACAATTGCCAAAGAAAGCAAACTCCCCGTTAAACAATAATTAAATAAGTACATACACGTCAATAACTCACAACAATTACCGCAGTAGCTCGAAATAAAATGAAATGAAACAATTAAATTAAATTAAAAAGATTTCTAAGAAAAGAGGCCCCGAGACTCGAGGGTAACCTAACCTGAGTAATGCGGGGCGTTACAGACTTCCCCATTTCAAAAACTTTCGTCCTTGAAAGTTCGTTGATCGAACAACTCAGGACAGGGGTAGCCCCGGTAGGTCTTCAGGGAACACGTCTGGGAACTCTTTGACCACGTGGACGGAGACGATCTGGGTGGAGTCTTACTAATGTCTACGACACTGGCCAAATAACCCCAAACACCATTCTGTAATAGGCGCCTTGCCTTCAATGTCGAAACTGCCCTTGGAACTCCACATGTATCTCCTTTAAACGTAAAGTTCCGACCCCAAGGTAGTTGGAAGGAGACTTCCCTTCTCGGGCAATTAATGTTGGCTTGGTTGGTAGCTAGCCAATCCATGCCCAATATGATGTCAAAATCCTGCATGTCCAGCTGGATCAATCTTGCCTTTAGGGTCTGATTGTTAAAGGATAACTCGCCTACTCTAACTATTTGACTAGCAATCATAACTGACCCTGATGGCGTAGAAACTGACAACAAAAACCCTAACGGCTCTAGTTCGAGGGTTGCCTGACGAACAAACGCCGTGGAAATAAAAGTGTGACTCGACATAGAATCAAACAATAAATAAGCCGGCACATTATCGACTAAGACCGTAACTAGAAGATAATGCAAAGGTAAAGACATAAACACCGCACGCAATACCAAAAAAACAAAAAAAACCCAGAGTGAGAAAGAAATACCTGTGACAATGGTTTCGAAATCCGCCGCTTCCTTGCAGGTAAGTGCGAAGACGCGAGCCCTCTGGTTACCTCCCTGCGTCGAAACTGTTGAGGGAGCCCTCTGGCGTAGCCTCTGGGTATTTGCAGCCGACATGGGACACTCCCTTGCAAAATGCCCTTCTCTCCCACACCTGAAACAACTCTTAATTCCCGTACAACACTACCCCGCATGTCTTCTCTGGCAGGAGGGGCATACTGGCAGCATGCCCAGTTGCTGAGCCTGGCGCTGGGGTGCTCTAAATGGCTGGTCGACATAAGTCAGAGGGACTTTCCTTTTCACACCTAAAGACGAACCGACTTCTAGCAGAGGTTGGGCCTTGTTAGAAACATCCCTATCCATAATTAAGGCGCCTCTAACTGCTTCAGCATAGGTGGCGGGTCGCTAAAGGTCCACTGGTCCTCTGATCCCCTTGCGCAAGCCTTTAACGAACCTCTTGATCTTTATTGCCTCAGTAGGAATGAATTCTAGAGCAAAACGGGAGAGTTCCGTAAACTTCCTTTCATATTGTGCTACCGTTAAGGTTCCTTGGGCGAGATGGAGGAATTCTGCCTCCTTCGTATCTTTCACAGTCTCCGGGTAATAGTAGTCGTACAATAAGTCCTTGAACCTTGCCCACGGAACTGGTACATTAGCATGATCTTCTGCCACTGCTATTGAGTCCCACCAATTCAGGGCCTCACCCCTCAACATAAAAACCACACCCTTAACCTTGAATTGGTCCTCGCAACCTAGGTACGCGTAAAGGGCTTCTAACTCTCTGACCCACCATTCTGCTGCTGTCGCTCTCTCACTTCCCCCGTCAAAGGTAGGGGGTCCGTAACGCTTGAAATCCTTGATGAATTGGGCCTCGCTTTGGGGAGTATGAAAATGTCGGGGTGGATGAGCTTGTGCACCGCCAACCCCTGCTGTGTTATTGATCAGTGCCTGCAACGCCTCCGCAAGCAATGCCACCTGAGGGTTCACCTGGGGAACTGTCGGGGGAA